ATTAATATGTCATCATTGGCCAGCTTCGTCATTTGATATGGGAGTGGTTAAGCAAATATTTGGAGTGACAAAGGAGAATAAAAATAAAACGAACATTATATTTTATTATGAAGGGAATTAAAAGCAGGAACTCTACCGCTCGACTCAGATAACATGCCGGCAAGTGCATTTAGATATTATTTATTGATCTCACTTACCTTTTGTCAACAAGATGGTAGTAGAACCAAAGCAATATGCAGGAAAAATATTTCTACACTAAGCACACTTAATAAAATATTAAAACAGTTTGATTCCTGACTGTCATAACACTCATAACTCATAAAGAATTAACAGTATAATACCAATTAAAATATTGGATAAGTGGATAACTATTAAGTAAAAAGTAAACAAATCAAAAATAACCTATTTTATTTTATGATTTCATATGGCAATAACAAAGTAACAATAATCAATAAAAAAAAAGATAAATTTCTCTTCTACTTACATCACTTACACCAAAAAACATTAAAGGAAAAGTTAAAATAATGTTTCTTGTTAAATTGATCGTCAGCTCTATCTAAAAAAGGACTAACGCTCAATTTATTATTAATATTTAATATATTTTTATTAATAACATGAAAAAACACTTAAAATTTTGTTTTCTTTTATCATATAGGTACCTATTATACTAACATAATATATTAAAAAATATTTTACAATATGTGCTAGCGATAAAATTAAGTATACATATACTACCTTGTCAAGAAATTTGAATGAAAAAATTCAAAAAATCATTTATTAAACATTAATGGAATTTATTAATAGCGATGAATGATTGTTATGTACGCCTAGGATTTAAGATACTATGAACGGATTATGGATAGGTTTCAAAATAAAATTAAAAATATATACAAGTACACAATGTAATATCTACAACACCGACTTATAAATACTAATTTATTAGTATCTATTCTTTATTCATAAAAATGAATAACAATAAAAATAATTGTTGCGTGTTCTTGTAGAAAATGTGGCGAGAGAATAATATTACGGTACGTATTAATTTACAAAAGATGCCTTCTTAATTGTGTTTGTCGGCTATGTATTTTACATTTTTATTCCGTCTAGATAAATATAAAATAGATATCAAATTTAGATTTTGTAAATAATCTATTTTATACTTTTATATTGTACATCGGTCATTGATAACTATTATAGTTAGAGTATGAGAGGTGATGTATTACATTTTTTGATCAATATTATACGGGGAACTTAAGTCCCACCAAAAATAAACTAGTCTAATTTTCTTCTATATCAGTCACCATTGATAAAGTAAAATATTTAATTTGTGCTACTATAGTATACTTAATTTATATTTAATTAGAAACAAAAAAAATAAGAGATAGCTACGTACCTGCATTGTTAGAACTTAAGGATTAAGTGTGGTATTTTGTCATGTTAGTAAGTTTATGATACCTACAGATTACTTAAACAAATTCCCTTCGAGAATTTATACTAAATCCTCACAAAAATTACCAATATTTATAATTATATTGTCATGGGTTTATAATAGTTACTACACTTACTGATACAAAGATTAGTGTAAACGTAGTATACACTATTTTATACTCAAATAATTCCCATCTAATATTTGGAGATGTATAAAATTCGGTTTGCTAGTTATATTGCCATATACCGCATAGTTATAGTACTTACAATTTATATTCGTGTATAATAATAATAATTCTTTATTATTGTTCAAAATGAGTACAAAACATAAAATCAATTTAAAAAAAATTATAAAATCATAAGATAACTCATCTATCTTAAAAAACCGAAGACTGTAATATAAGGTATAGGAATTCATTTATTTAACAAAATAAAATAGTTAACTAAAAATCAAAAAAAAATAAAATAAAAAATAAAAATAGTATTAAATCATAGTAAATTTAATTTAGAATACGACAATAGTAAACAATTCGATGAATGTAATTAAAATTAGAAGATTTGGTATAAGTACCTACTTAAAAACTGAACATTTGTCGCAAAATAGACTTGCATAGTTTAATACGTATATTTATACAATTTTTAAATCAAAAAACTTTTGCAATTTAGGTATATTTAGGCTAATATTACGTTTATAGTTTATACCAAGTATAATAATTATGAGTTAGTTAAAATTTGCCTTAATTAACATTAAAGATACATTCTAAAATGTTAATCAAATATATAAACCATTTAGTCTATTTAGATATCTGACATTTAAAATAGTGTATACGTCAACATAATATTAATAATGTTTATCTAAAATATATCTATATATTAAATTAATAATTATTAAAATAAATTAATTTAAACCAATATTTTAATTTTATCTTGGCAGCATTACACCAATAATTATAATAACTGATTGTACTAAAGTTCTAAGCATATAGACATATAGGTATTTCGTAAACTATTGATATTCACGATGTTTTTTATTAACTTGAATCATAAAATACATTTTTAATTCAATTAGAAACATTATTTATTTATTTGTTACTCCCTTCTTCGATTAGAGTCAAAAATAATATTTAAATATTTAATTAAATTGATATTTTCTATTTTATTGTATAAACAGTAAACAATAAATTGTTAGTTATAATACTACGATTATTTGAATACTTTTAATGTAGTTTGTACAAGTTACAACATTATTGTAATTATTATAAATTAAAAAATAAATATATTTAGGTACTTTGGTCTTTTAGTTTTTAATTTATCAAACCATATTTTTAGTTAATCAAATACAAGTATAACTTATTCCAATAATACTAAACTATTTACTCACCTAGGTACGTACATTAATATATTTATTATAAATTGTATAATATCTTATGTTCATGGTTATTCCAATTTTCGACGAACGTAGTCTTCGATTTTAGTCTACAAAAAGTGCTCCGTCACTGTAAAAAGTACATAATGTAGTTGTACATATAACTTCAACAACAATAAATTTTTTTAAGTATCTACTTACTATACGCTATAAATATAGCTCACATTAAATTATTTACATTAGACGAATAAAATTGTATTGGCAAGTATTATTATAGTCTATCTGTGTAGTGATTATTTTATGTTTTGTCTTAAAGTCACCCAAAAACGGCCATCTACTAATATTTTATAAGCAAACCAATGGGTAACTATATTATATTTTTTTGTTTTGTTAATTGCAAGCTTTTCGATGACACGTATGAACTTTATTTGTTAATATTAGGTTGGAAAAGAATACGAAAACAATTAAATATCAAGTAGATAGTTAATAGTAGACAGACAGTAAAGACTTATTTTATTTTACTAGTTAAATAACAAAATAGGTACCTATTTGCAAACTCTTTACATACCGATACTGTCATACTAAGTGAATTACAAAAATAATTATTTCGGTACTCAGCACTTATACCGGTATCGCTATATAGGTAATTATTTACGAGTGTTGAGTATGTAATAAAGGAAAAACGTAAATGTATTTACTATGATACACTTTTCTTTTCTTTATATAAATATATATATATAAGAAATTTATAATTTATATACACAAAATAATACAATAAGTAAATAAATTAAAAAAATAAATTAAAAATTTGTACTAGACTTGAAAACGTGTGAAAAGGGGTAGCATCTATCAACACTACTTTTAAATGATATATTTGAAAAAAATAAACTTAAAGTAAACAATTAAATTTAATAACATATTATTATTTATTATCAATTTAAATGTATAAATGTATAATAATTATGTTATAGATTATAATTTATATAATAATTATAATTTAAATTGTTGATATTATTTATTATTATTAATTAAAAATATAATAAATCTTAATTACTCATTAATCGTTAAATTTTTAATAAATTAAAATATAATTACTTCCCAAAGGCAAAATTTTAGTTTGTTTATTATTTAAATTTTAATAAGAAATATTACTACTAACATTTTTACCTTAGTTGAACTCAAAGTGTCAAATATTAAAACGAGAACGTGTACCTTTAAATAATTACATTGAATTAAATAATCTTCGGTTCATCAATTCTTTACAGATTCTTTAGGAACTAATGAAACCAATTAATCCTTAAATGAAATAAACCAGAATTAATAAACAGATTAACAAAAATACAGGTTATTGTTTTCATGTATACGTCTTTGTAAATCAAATTAATATTTCCAACAATAATACAATGTTATATGTATATTTGATACAACTGCACAAAATAAAAATACATACCAACAAATAATAATAAGGACAGTGGTAAACTCTCCCGAGTCGTATCGGGAGAATTTACTGTCTAAAGAGTTTACAGTTCATTAAAATCGAGAGAGTTTACAATCGCTTAACAATAATGTTATCTTATCTTATTTTATCTAAAAAAATAATGCATTTTCATTGTTCATAATATAATATATTTGAATAATTAATCAACATTCCATCAGCCTCATACTAGGTAATTACAAAAAGATAATTATTTAGGATATCACTTATACGAGTACAGTCATATAGATACAGACGATACACACATTTTCATAATATAAACTTTAAAATTCATCATGACCTAATATATAATTTAGCAGTTCAAGTGTACAACACCAATTTACAATAATATATACTCAACAGAGTTGGACCAAAAGCATTAATTTTAACATAATTATAAATATGTAGGTACATATCTGTTTTTAAGATATTTCCAAATTCCAATATTATCTATATTAGATATTTAGATTTAATTTTCGTGATTTAATTTATTTATTATTATTATTAGTCATTAGTGGCATATTATTACGCTAGTATTTATAATCAATGATATTAATTATTACTTGTTATGTACAATACCATTACAATTTTCATTATATAATATGAATTCAACCATTATGATTAAAACATTATAAATAATAATGTGAATTATTTATTTTATTATACTTTTTTTGAACTGAAATAAACAAATAATTGGCACATAAAAAATAGTAGAGAGTCTAAGAACTAATATCATTTAATAAAAAATATTTCATAAATCAAAAAATTAACAATTATAATAACCGTATTTTGCATTCAAAAAACAAATACCCTGCTTTAAGTGGTCCGACTCCATCACATCAAAATGTATAACCTTTACAAATTGTATTTACCCTGACATCATGTATTCTAATAATCTTATTTAATATTGAAAGCTGGTCCAATTCTAACATGTTTTATCTTTTGCCAGGGTACTACCCCTCGTTGTTCGTTTTCAAGTGGTTTGGCATATATGTCACTGGCCAACTCATCTAGTGATATTTCTGCATCTTCTTTTGATTTCACAACCGCTTGATCAATTTCTATTTTTATTTCACTATCAATTTTCTAAATAAAATATAAGAATTTACAATACCATACACTAATAAGTACCTATATCCATATACATAGAAATATAGAATGTATTAAAGTCTAAAATAATTACCTTGAGATCTTCAACGGTTGCAAGGTTGGTAGAGAGAATTTTTTCTTTAAACGATGTAATCGGGTCTCTAGTCATCCTTACAGCTTGAATTTCAGCTCGAGTTCTATATGAGGTGCCAGGATCAGACATTGAATGACCAGAATATCTATAAGTAACTGTTTCTAAAAGTATGGGACCATTTCCATTAACACAATGATCCACCGCAAACTTTGATGCTTCTCTAACAGCCAGTACGTCCATGCCGTCTACCTAAATTTTAACAAAAATGAAATAGGTACAGACAGAGATAGTGACTTGGTGTTAGACTGCAGTTGTTTCCGTATAAAAATTCTCACCACTTTATAATAATATACTCAATGCTTACTCAGTGGCGAGGTAGGTACGCACAAACCTACTAAGTATTAAATGCTAGTTTTCGACAATTTTTTGACTATTATCTGTTAAAATAGAGTATCTGTTTAAATCGGTATTATCACTTTTTTGAACATCATGTACAGAGGTACAAAATAATATATTATTTTATTGTTTTGTACTGAGTTATTGGGACCAAAATTTAAATTAATAGGTATATATAAACTTAGGTATGAATTAATACAAACAATAATTTTTGTTTTGTAAGTGATGATAAATAGTAATTGTCAATGATAAGCATGCGATAGCGATAGGTTGGTGTCCTACTGGCACGTATTGCACAGTGTATAAAATTGTAAACCTTGAAAACTATAACAAAAGTGACTATTTAGTAGGTATTTGCTTTATAGAACAAGCAAAATTTAAGCGTTATTTAAATGAAAATGCACAAATTTATCTCAAAAAATGTAATATTGTTGTTCAAAATCCAAAAATAAACATAAATAAGTAGGTATGTTTAAAAAACAAAATAATACATAAATATGCATCATAAAATTACAAATTCGTCTTTATTCCTGATAGGTATCTATCCGATATACATTTATTTGTTTTTATAGATTCATTTTTACGAGTATATAAAATAAATATGCAAATACTAGAAGTTCTCTGCCCTTGTCATTATGTAGGTAGTTATTTTAACGTATGCACTAATAATCATATTATATTACGAAGACTATAAAAACTAAGTTTCTAGCAGCTTATAGAGAATTAATTTAAAATGTCAAAAACTGGATTACAAACTTTCAAAACTCGTTTTAATTATAAACTTTATTGTACTATAACTTTTATACCTCATAATAAACAACAGTCAACAACAGTGAACAAATAATATTAAGATTTAAGAACCTGAAAGGACATTCCTGTTAAGGATTAACCAAAATTAAAGATAATATTTTATTATTTTCACTATTTTTAATCGTAGATATTATAGATAATGAACGGGTCTTAACGACAATTGTAGCGTTATCTTTCGCTGTTATTTTCAATATTTTAACAAATTTACTTTCCACGCTATCGCCTACTTTCGCCGCTAGATTACTCTGCTATTTACAATATTTTTTCTTTATTTTAAAATTACATGTTCATGATATTTTTAATAATACTGAGTTGCAAAATTATAAAATATCTCACTAAATCGAATTTAACTATCTAAGATGCGTATCTTGTTGTGATCGTATCTAACGTCATAACTACCTAACTTTCTAAGTATTCTATTTACTTATTAGTTATTTATGAAGTATTAATTCAAATTTTTGAAAAAGTAGATATAATATTTTAGGTACTTATAGATACATTTAAAAAAATATTTTTTTTTTTTTTGATTTCTGAGTGTGTGTTGTTAAAATTTATTGAAAAATATATAACCATTAGCTATGTATGTTAAGTTACAAAGTACCTAATTACTAATAATATTGATAGTTATTTGTTTTAAAAATGTTCTAAACGAGCAATTAAACCATGCAAGCATCATTATCAGAGTCTAACGATGAGTAATTAATTTTAAGTTTAGATAATACACCAGTAATTCAATCATCTTTAGAATCAATGTTTTTAAATAAATATTATTTACTAATTTCTAAGATATTATTGGTAAAAATTATTTGGACATATATAAGCATGCGAATAATGAGGATTCCATGATTGTAGAAATTATCTGATTGCAGCACATATTGCTTACATTTTTAAATGGTAGGTAGCTAAAATTATAGTAGTAACTAGTAAATACATACCTGCCAGCTACCATGTAAAACATAATTAGGTGCTAGGTAAGTACTAGAAATAAAGAATAAATCGAAGTTCACATTCTTCTTTTAAATAATAAAGTTGAGTACCTACTTGAGTGTAAAATAAACGTGGGAAATTTAAAATAATTATTTGAATGTCGAATTCTTATCTTTTATCAATCATTATCAAATATTCGAGAAAAAATATTTAACTTGAATCTCTTAATGTATACGAACACTAGCTACTAGGGTTGGTTGATCACATTATATTTTTACCCAAATGCCGGGTATATAATCGCCCCGGGTGTAGTAAGATGTGTTTGAAGCTGACCGTTCCGAACTCGTTCCCATTGCATACCCGTTATTCTCACAGACAAATACGCAGGGCAAGTTCCATAATTTAGCCATATTGTATGCTTCGAACACTTGACCTTGATTTGAAGCGCCATCTCCGTACAAAGCAAAGCATACTCCTCCAGTGCCCAAGTATTTTGCAGCCAATGCAACGCCCGCTCCTAAAGGAACCTAAACAAGAATAAAAAGATTAAAATAATAAATATCAAACATCAAATTGGTACCTTTCTATTAAATTTTATTTTTTTATTTTTTATTATTTAAGATAATATAGGTTATAATTTCCTATAGGGACCTATATGATGATAATTAATGGATAAAACTACGATATCCCGATATCCTATCTAGAATAGTCGAAATGTAATAATATTATAAAATATGTATTGGTAATAGGTTTTTAATAGAAGATTTAATTTTATGAGATGAGTTCTTAACTATATTATAGAAAAATGAAAATCAATAGGTACACGAACCTGAGCTCCAACGATACCGTTTCCGCCGTAAAAGTTTTTACCATACATATGCATGGAACCACCTTTACCACGAACTACCCCACCGACTCGACCAGTAAGTTCACTCAACACCTCCACCGGTGTTGCACCCATCAAGTATGTCCAGCCGTGAACACGGTACGCTGATATTATTGAGTCCTGTTCGCGGAATGCCGATTTCATACCCACTGCGCAAGCTTCCTATTTTAATATCAAATTAAATATATCAAAAACTTTGCTAATAAAATCAATATAAGTAAGTTAAACAGTATGAATACTAACCTGTCCAGAGTATAAGTGACAAAATCCTCTGACGATTTTTTCCTTGTACAAGTTACCGGCTGCCGTTTCTATACGTCTGATATACTGCATCTGTTTGTAGTAATTTATAGCGTCTTCTTTACTTACAGTTACTGTTGTACTGGGTCCAGACTCTAATTTATGAAGTTTGAACGCCTATACATCAAAAAGTATTACTAAGTATCTATCATCTTAATATTATATCAATAAAGTAATTGAGCACATTTTGTTTAGAGGAAATTACTTAAATCTATTTTGTAATAATTTTTTTTCTAAAATATTCATAACAATCGTACATCATAATTACTTATTTGAAAATCTAAATTATGATTTTAGACTTGAAGCGTAGTATTAAGTCTTTATTATTTTATTTTAAAGTTAACCTTTTTATCTACTGATATCATTCAACACGGGTTTCATAAATCGCAGTTGTTCGTAGAAATAATAATGAACATAAAACAATGATTATTAAGAATCGCATAATATATAAAATATATAAAGTATGATTTACCAATATTTTCAAATACTTATTTTTTTCCTACTTAAAGAATATCCTGTGGTATTAACTTCTATTTTTCAAATAAGGATCGCCTTTTATCTATAAATTATCAATTGGAAAATTTATTTTTTAAACATTTTTATTTAAATAATTCATAATTAGGACAATAAGTTTTAAGGACAATTAAGTATTGGTTATTAAATTTTAAGTACCTTGTACCAGTTATACCTACTTAGGATAATAGTCTATAATAAAAGGTTAAGAATATAAGGGTTTTATAATTATGTCATTACTTATTTGAAAATTATAGTAATTATTATCATCAATTTATTAAAATATTTTGAGTAAAATAAAAAATTAAAAACTAGACTAAATATTACATCTATTTTATACTTTATGTAAAATCATTATCAAAAAGTATTTTACTATTTTTTACAAAAAGTTAATTAACTCAAAAACTACTTGCCATATTTTCGATTTAAATAAATCAAAATTTTCAAAAAAAATCTTCCAATTAACAATAAATTATAATAAAAAAGATTGAATCTTACTTGAAAAAATGATTTTGTATCACCATAGAATAGTTCTAAAATTTTAAAAAAATTGAGTTTTTAAATATATGGTCTTCAAAATTAATGAACTACCCTTTGTTTTTTAATTAAAAGAACACAATATCGGTACTTTTTGGTACCAACAATTTACTAAGTTATACTAGTTATATGAAAAAATATAGGAGAACATTTACATGTTGAGAGAAACATCGCTGATGTTTTTATTTTTTAGTTAAATTAATTTAAAATTTAAACATTAAATAGTATACCTTAAAATCTATAATATTCATTTTTAAATTTAAAATTATCTTAGGTGTGGTCGTGAATTAATGTTTAATGTTTAATGTACCTATTGAGTGATGAGCACTAAGAATGTTTAAAAATCACTTCGTTGCATACAATTATACCACTTGACTAAATTGGATCAGTATAAATTAGATAGGTAGGTACTTATTATTTTAAATATTTCTCTGTGAAATTTCTTTTCTATCCGAAAGTGTTAACAAGAAAGTAGAATTTATTATTAACTGCATCAGTATAACTGTAGTAAAATTAGAAAGCAATATATTATATACATTAACTAACTCACTCAGAACCTAAAATGTATAACGTTTTTACATAGATTTCTAATAGTATTTAAAATGTTACAAACTTTTATATCAAACGTGGCATCAGTTGCAAGGCTTCTGCATTGCCATGTCGACGTTAACTTCTGTAAAAACAAAAAAAAAACAAAAAAAAATATACAATCATTCACACATTTAAATTAAACTGAAAATATTTTGTTCAATATTTTGAAAAATAGCTATTTATAAGGTTATTCAATATTCTATAGCTATATTTATTATGTATGTAGTTAATTATATTTTAGTTAAAAATCACAACATGATATTTTTATATGGTATTAAGAAAAAATAAACCATGCAGTGTAATGTTTGAATATTTCTAAGATTATTAAATAGTAAAATATAAATTTATAAGAAATCTATTATTAGATACTAAAGCATTTACAATATAAAATAATTTACAGCTATTTAACATAATTATTTTAATAATATGTAAACTTATTAAAAACTTGCATTAATATAAGTTTATTATCTTTTTCAATAACGTTTTTATTTATATGGTAAATTTTTGTTTGAAAGTTAACATAAATTAATTCTATCTCATTATATTCAGTAGATAACTAATTATAATTTTTTTTTGTTTATCTGTAAAGTACGTACAAATAATAATCTATTCTTAATTTTTATCAAGAGATACTAATGAAGTCCTTAAACAATTGTACAACACAACAATTCAAAAATATTAATTGTTGTTTAAACATTGTTAAACGTTTATGTAGTTTTCACCCAGTGCAGTACAGATACAACATACATATATTACCTACTGCATATTCTACATTATTACGTAAGTGCGCAATAAATATTTGAATTTTCAGAACTTTTATTAATTCAAAACTAGGTAATAATAGTTATCGATCAGATCAGCAATTACTTAATGTGTATTTAAATTGCTGCTTATAACGCAGGTATATATCATAGTAGATGGCAAATGCCTATTGACATAATAATCAAATGTTTGGCTTTGAGCCCGCGCGTATACGAAAATAAACGCTGCGCGCTACACCGGCGTCTGTTATTCAACGTGCGATTCTATTGACCCCTAATAGGCTCATTTTCGTTACGTTCAAAATTTATGCTTATGGTGCGGTTAGTTCACAAATTTTCTAGCTTATTTAGTTCAATTACCCATACATTTGTTTTATACATATTTTAATGCGTATCAGGTTCACTCATCAAGTAACAAATTATGAAGTTCTACTGCATATCATATACGTATAATATATTAAATTGTACTATAAATAAATATTAGAGGTTGAAATTTTGTTTTTATATCATAATTTGGCAGTAAAATTAATCTACACATTTTTAAAACAATTCTCTCAAGGTCACAACCACCTAATAAGTTCCATGAAGTATATACCTATGACCTATCTCACGAACCATATAGTATAACATGTATGTCTATAATATAAAACATAGATGTACTTTGGACGAGACAGATATGCAGAAAATGATGCATCTTAACTTTTTTGAATCTATATTCAAGGGCTGATATCGATCATCTTGTATAATCAAATAAAACAATCATGGAAAAAATCATATATAGGTAATGGTTTTGGGAGAAATCCCCAAATTTATAAATTTTTCTACACGAAAATAAAAAATTAATAATTATCATGCATAATATCTAAGAAAAAAAAATTTCTAATATTCACTAATGGAAAAGACAACAGATAATAATACAAATTTTTATTTCAATTAAGATACAAAACGTTGTCTTAATGCAATAAAAATAAAAATTATAGTATCAAAATATTTGTTATTATTTATCATACTTATACATTTTAGTTTAAGGAGAGGAATAAGTTTTAAAACTGACCGCTTGTAAAATAAAATTGATCACTATTAGTAATTTAAAATATTTATTTATCAAGTCTTAATAAGTTTTCATAATCTCTATTTTTATACCCATTTTTTTTTTTAAATTTAATTAATAATAAGTAATAAATACTACAGGTTACTATTGTATACAAAATAATATAGATTCAATATGTTTTGATAAATTCCATACACACCCAAATGACGATGATTGTTTACTTTTGTGTACCTTAACTTAGAAGTTAAAAATAATCAAATGTTTATAGAGCTTACTAAAAAAATATAAATACATATAAATCGTAAAATGAATACATTTTAACCATATAATAAATAGAAATAAGTCAAAATTATGTATGCAATAAAAGATATCATACACATTTAATATGACTTATGAGAAAATACGTACTTATCCTTGTTCAAGATATAGGTACATTTATGAAATTTTTAAAAATTCAACAATATTAGCAATATTTTAGTAATATTTGATATAAGCTTTAAAAGTTTTTATTTTGAATTATTTTAGAATAATTAATAATATTAATTTAACTACAGCAAGGTAGTTCATTAATACCAAATAAAATACTGAATTATTATGGTTATTAATTAATAATAAAATTATGATTTATTGTAATAAAAACAAACCACAATCTATACAGGTATTTCAAAAAAAATATTTTTCATTTGGTAAGAGGCTCCAGAAGCGAGGCAAAGTTATAGTAAAGTTTTGTGTAGTCTTAATAATTCTAGCCCCCCTCCTCTTAAAAATAAGATGATAATGTGGTGGTGGTGCAGCCCCAACTGAATCCGATTCCTCCGCACGTCCATAGATACGATTCGCAGTAAACGATCTATAGCTATAGGGGTATGTATAAAATGTGATATTACAGAGGGTAAAAACGGATTGACGTCACTGTCGAAAATCGATACAATAACACCCTTGCAGAGTATTTACACATATGATGATGTACACACACGAATATAGATAGGTATAGATAACCTACTTATTTTTTAACGAATATTTTACACTTGCACGCGTTATATTATGACATATGATGATAGGTACATCTTTTGAAATTGTATACTCAAACCGAATTGAACAAATACATTCGAGTAGTATTAAAATTAGATTTTTAACCGCGTTTGGAACGATATTATGCTAAATTTTACCTGCAAGGTGTTGCGGATAGCGGGCACCTTTGTAGTAGTGAGGGTTATCATTTTGCGTGCAGCGCCGGTGGATTGATATGAAAGTCAAGTCAGAAAGTGGTGTAGTAAAGTCCTATAGCGTCCGTAGACCTAGCCGGCTGCGAGGGCGAGGTGGTGGAACGATGCGCGGCCAGGGCGTTACGGACACTAATGCAACAACGCTCGCGCGACACATTTCTACACTCACTATTATTATTATTATTATTGTTGTTGTTACGTATTTCTGTCGTGGCGTTTGGTACGCTCAAAGCGCCCGTTTTCGAAACGATGTTAAGGCAGATCTAAACGGCGGTGATAATGTCGTCAGATGGCGCTGCCGGTCGCTGAACTTTTCGATTCGAAAATTCATTTTAAATTTTTAGATAGACGTATCTCATATTATTTTATTTAGCCGTTTAAACAATTAAAACTCGGGTACTTACGTCGTCCTACAGTGGGATTATGATATATAGTGGAATCTCGATAACTCGAATCGGTTGGGGGCGAAAAAAAATTCGAGTTATCGAAAATTCAACTTACAGAGGTTACACATATGATATGTTATAAAGTAGGGGCCAAGACATTCTTTCGAGTTATCGAAAATTTGACTTATAGAAGTTCGAGTTATCGAGGTTCCACTGTAGTTATATTATAATATAACTTATACACATACAATATCGCAGATTTCGATGGACATAGACTGCGCGATTCCTCTATGATTATTATTAAGAATATTGAAGGTAGGTACTTGGTGCTCAAGTGTCCAGACATATTTGCTTAGCAGTGAAAGCTCATCTACATGATTATCATTTCAAAACAAATAGGTATTGGTAATTGGTATAAATTATTTTCTTTCAAGAGCGTTAATCTCAGCAGAAACCAATTTATATTAACTTGTTTATCTTTGTTCTTTCCCGAAACTGTTTTAAATACAAATCAGTATTATTATTATTTTTAGAAGACATAAAATAATAAACAGAAATGAGTTAACATTTTAAAAATGAGGAGTAATAACTAATAAAATAAATTGACAGTTTATTAATAAGGGTTAAGAAATAACAAAAAACAAAACATATCAAAAAATTGATTAAATAAAAGTAATAATAGTAAGAAAAACAATGTAGATATCTAAATTGTTTGTAGTTTTATCATTACATAATACCTATGTTGTTTTTTTTTTATTATTATGTATAACATTCCATGGTCTGTTTGTATAATTAATTTTTCTTTAAATACCTACGTGACTTGATCTACTGTTATTTATAAATCAGATCTATTATTCATTATATTACTTAGATAATATATTCATTTTTAGACTATAATATTGATTACAACTTTTGTTATTAGTTTATGTATATATTATTTTGTTATTATATATTTCATAAAAGTACCTATGTAAGTTAATACTTACAACTAAATTAATAAGTAAATAGGTAATTTTAAGTAGGTATTTAGAAAACGTATTGTACTTATACATAAAATATTACCTTGGACTTTGGAGTCAATATTCAATCGTCGACTTATTTATTTGGTCAGCTCACTAAGAAAATAAAAGTCGATCACTCAACGACCGTCTCCGAATTCTTTATTCAATCTTAACTTCAAAAAATATAAAACTGCCTACTAAATTACTGACAGTAGCGTATTGAGCCAAATTTCTGCACCGGGGCAATATAAAATTTGCCACCCTAAAATTTTTTTAAATAAAATATGATTTTCACCTCTCTTTTTAACGCTTTCACAAACACATCAGAAATATATATTAATACGTTCTTCTGTAACAGTAAGTATTAACATATTAAAAAATAATTACCTATGCACAATTAATTTGTATACTAAGAATTTTTTTTTTCTTTGAAACACATTATTTATTAAATATTCATATAACTAATTAAGAATTACAATTAAAAGCTAAAAATAGTAAATTATTAAAACGTATTATTGATAAGTACCTATTATTCCATGACTTTTAGATTAGGTATACACGCTATTTACAGAGGAGTACTTACTGTCGCCATTTTTTAAATTAGAATCATTTGTGAGGAGAGTATAGGGTGAAGTCAGTGCCGAATTTAAAACAAATACTGCCCTAGGCCCTTTTAAATATGCCATCCTAACCCCAAGAAAAATAATTTAGTATTTATTTCTTAAATTCATAGATTTACTTCTATGTTTTTTAAATATTATATAATATTAATTTATGCAGTTACATAAATGCATAAAATATTTATATGATTTTTTTCATTTCTTACAAAATTTTCCGCCCTAGGCCCGTGAGGCCCGGGTCTAGGCGTAAATTTGGCCCTGGGTGAAGTTGCTCGTCGTATATAATTCATGATCAAAGTAAAAGACTAGGTAATTAAAAAAAATAGAAGCTTCAGGAGTTCAGCGTAACACCTGTTTTTCATTGAAATTATGTCCTTAAGTTAAGAACATTTAAAAATCTAAGTTTTTGCTTAAAAATGAAATGTTTTTTGTTAGGTTAAGTTTCATAGACAAACATAAGGGTGTAAAAAAAATGAGGCAATGTATTGTCGTCGGTTAAAACAATTTTTTTTTCACATTTTATTCCTCGAGGTCTTATAGGTAGGTACAATCTAACACTCCAAAGAATATTTACCAAGCAATTGAATACCAAGAAAATGAGAACTCATAGACACTTATAAATAGGTACGTGGAGTGTGGGCTGAACCTGGGGAAAGAGAAAATTAATATTAAAGATAACATTTTTAGAAAATTGTAGCTTACACTTTGTTCTCATCAGTCATTATGACATTATGTATATTATATTTGTGGTTCCGTGTACAGTCTTAAATTTATATTTAAGACCATATGTAACTATGTAAGATCCAATCAGTTCTATCATAATAAGTATAGGTACAAGATAGGTACCTATTATTTATCCCTTTCAAACATTGTTGTCACTAGAGCACTAGGCAACATATGGCAGAATACGTAAGTGAGAGTGTGGAACACGTAGCCTAAAATGTATTATTAATAAATAGACATATTAATTTATAAATAATGTCTATACCTACTACACTTTGCACTTATACGCAAAGTTACTATTTGTTCAACAAATAGATTTTGAAAATTTTTGAAAAATATTTTTTTGCTATGATATAATTCTATCATTTTTATAAACGTAATAATAATATATTATTGATTATTTCTTATCACAAATTTGTTATCAACTCATACTAAAATATAATGAAAACCAAGTTTTTCAGCTATTGCTTTTGACTGAAAAAATTGGAGTTATTAGATTGGATATTAGTGCCTAAATATTCTAAAGAATCATGACAGATTCAGGAAATAAATCATCATCAAAAGATTCTAACAAATTGACAAATAAAGAAGCAAGAGAAGAATACTTTGATCAACTGCGTTTATGGTTGAATACCGTCAACAGTTATCATTGTTATTACAATAAATTACAGCAAGAGTTTTTACAAAAAAACTACCAACAAGTTTTAAAAAAATCTAATGAAGTTCCTAAAGTTGTGCCTAATGCGGTACCTGTAACACCAACTGTTGAACGTGATCAGTTTGTGGGTATGATCTATTCTTATAGTTTATTAAATAACAAATTGTTGTATTCTTTAATGTGGTTTATTTAGGAATGAAATGCCAGATACCATCTTTATGGAGGCGTTTTGGAGCTGAATTAATTGATTTTTTAATATTAAGTTTTATCAAATTTGTAATTGCTTACTTTCTAGTAGATTCAATTCTTGAAATGTAAGTATATTTTGCATTTTACTATTTAAAACAATGTAGTTTGATTTTTATATTTTTAAAAATAAATACTAAATAGTATTTAACTCTATCTGATATATCATCAAGTACCTATAATCCACACATAATACTTAAAATAACATCTAATATGGAGGGCCTTTTTTTTATTTGCAGTAGTTAAAATAAATTATTATTGGTATAAAGAACATTTAAATACAATGCACTTGAATCAAATTTAAAAAAAATTCTAGACGAGGTACAGAAACTAAGTCACTTATCTTACTACTCACCTTGATACTTATGGTATCTTATAATTTCACATTTTTAATTAGTAATAATATATTAAGTCATGATTAACAACTCTACTTAATGAAATTTCTTTAAAATTGTTTGGTGGTTATAGGTGTAACTCAGTGGTTTTCAACGGGGTAGATAACACCCCCTGGGGGGAAGGTAGAGGAGAACTGTGGGGCAGTGAACTTGATTTAAATAATACATTAATGATAATCCATATAATAATTAAAAAATAAATTAAAACATGAGTTATTAGATAATTTCAATTTTTGTATTTAAATTTTCCAAATCATCAACTTCCTTTCTATCTTTTTCACACAGGGAGTGTTAGAAAATTGATTTGCTATTGAAGGGGCGATCACTCTTAAAAGATTGAGAAACACTAGTGTAACTTAATAAATAAGTCTTTTTTTTTATTTATGTATCCTGAACATTATCTAGAATTTTGTATTTATTAAATGCATATTATCATTATTTTATTCACAGATAAAAAATTTTCATAAAAATATATAATTTAATAATGAAATGTAAATACATTTTATTTTATACTATAAATATATCTACTTTAGTTTATTTAAACAGAATGGAAAAAATAGCTAATGATCATTGTAACTTTAATATTTTATGAATAAAAAATAAAATAAAATAATAAAAAAAAGTTAACTAAAATGAAATTATTAAGTTTTTTGTTAAAATTTTAAGTATAAATATTATATAAATAAGAATTAATTATTTTAATTAAAAATTTACTTAGTAGATCCATGGTAGAGCACATGCTTAAAATTTATAAATATGTAAATACTTAACTTAAAAAAAAAAAATAATACTTAAATATCTTAAACAAATTGTTGTATTTATTTTTAAATGTATGAATGTGTAATTTAATAATAATAATTAAAATAATAGCATGGTGATAAGTCATAGATTATGCTCTTTGTACTTAAGCTAAAATGGTCATAATTTACTTTATAAAATAAGTTATCTTTTTTTAGCGATTTCACTAAATATAACAGTATTTTTTCACGAGATGATGTTGATTATACTTCTACATTAGAAATGACTTCGGAACTATTGTTTATTGAAATAACGCACCGAATAATAGTTTGTCTTTATGAGGTAATTTTAAAATACAATTACTTGTAAAATAATCTTAACTACTTCTACCAACATATAATCATTAGATATATAAATGAAAATGTTTATAATATCATAATTAAATACTTTTGGTTTTTAGATATGTTGTCTACAAGGTAGTACAATATTTCAAGGCGGAGCAACAGTTGGTAAAACTCTATTAGATATTACAGTTGTTCGAGCTGATAAACTATTTTCTATAAGAGGTCAGCCAGCTGAAGTCATTGCCTTAATTCCTGGTGGCGATATTGGTTGGAAACGGGCAACACTTCGTTCAATCACTAAAAATCTATTTTTTGCATTTTTGTTTCCACTACCTTTTATTACAGCAGCAGCTAATCAAAACAGATGTGCATATGATGTCTTGTGTGGAACGATGGTTGTAGAATTTATACAACCATTTAAGTGTGAGCAATCTGATCTTATTCCTATTGGGTAACAAGATTGTTAATTAATAAATAATATTTAATGATTTATGTAATATACATAAAGATTATTAGACTATTACTTTAAATATAGGTTACATTCAATAATTTAATATCTTATTAAAAAATATATATATATACTATCTAAATTTGTATAACTTAATAAAACATATAATGTTTTGAATTTTCTGTAGTTTTAGTCTTAATAAACTTATTAACTATAATTATTAATTTTTGTTTGTGTGTTAAATGTTATGTAATTTATATAATATAGATTATAAGTTTAAATTATTACTTGTATTAAAATTTTTTTTTTTTTCTAACTTTATTTTAAAACATACAATCTGTTATTTAAATTTACAATAAGCATGTATGTGGATATACATTGATTTAACATGTGACGTGTGAAAAAAGAAGCCAGCCAATAGCAACACTTTATAACAGAAGTTAGTTTAATTTAAAGTTTTATTATTATTATTATTATAATTATTTTATTTTCTTTTCCCTCTTTATTAATTTTGGTTTAGATTACGACACTATCTTTTCTTTAATCTATATTAAAATTTAATTATATAAAATAAAAGCATAAATGCATGGGTTATTATTTTTTCAATTCTTAATATTAACGCTTTGTATTATAACTATTTTTCTATACTTAAAATAGAAAAACATTCCAAGTTTTATGTTTTATCCACAGTGGCGTAATAAGATTAGTATTAACTAACAATTACAATCAAAAAAGTTTTGTAATTAAATTGCTTAAAATTACAGTTGTTTTTATTTTAAATAGCTCTCATTGTTTATATTATATTAATTTAAGTCAATAATAAGTAATAACATTTTAGAACTGTAATCCAATTTTAAATATTATATTAACTATTAATCAAAACTAAGCATTAACAACATTAAATTAAGTTGCAGTACAAGTTACTAATATTTTTTTTTATTATTTATTAAAAACTTTATTCTAACCACTTGGTCATTGGCTGACAACAATTTTTTGCTATTAATATTATTCTAATGACAGTTGTTTTTGTTACAGGTTATATTATTATTTTTTCTACTTAACATTTCCAAATTATATTTTATGAAATATGAGAAATTTAAGTTGTAAATCTTAAGACTTTAGCCAACAGTAGCTTTCATAGAACTTATTATTTATGTCCTATAGTTACTATAAATATTAATGATGTTCCTATTTATGTTAGTAAGTGGATTTCAATTAGCTTCCTTCTCAGAAATTAAAAATAAATAAAATATCAATGGGCCATTATTCATTACTCATTACTTCATTAGTATTTTGTATTTAATAATTATAGATAGTACATTTAGGTCTTAGAGAAATACCTTCTAGGAATAAATAAGTCTGCTGTTATATTATATTATTCCAATACATCAGTGTTTTTCGGCCTTGAGAGAACACAGAATATTCTAAAATATTTTCGAATAATTTATAGCTATTAGACCAATAGACATTTATACATACAAATGTTTAAATTAAATTTGTATTTACGTATTGGGAAGTTATACGTGTTTGTTACAATACCTACTGCATTAATAAACGTGACTAAAATATCAAATAAGTTGGTAGATATCTACCTATATATTTTAGATTTTGAGCATAGCAACTACGATGTGCTTTTTGTTAGAAAACATTTTTATATTTAGTAGCAAAAATCATTAGATTTACAATTACGATACCTTTTCTAGGAAAGTGAATCTAATTGGTACTTTAGGGATAAAAATTAAAAAATTACCAATACTTTTTTTAATAAATATGGAGAGGGTATGGAAAAATGGAAATATTTACGTGAATTTAATTTTAGACAAAATCACTAAAATTTTTAATTTATTTTTTACTTTAAAATTTATAAAATATTCGATTTCTATGATTGAGGCCTGGAAATTTAATGTAAGTTTCGTCATATATTATATAGTTCATATTGAAATAAAAATACCTATCTAAAAAAATATATAGCTACGTACTTTTTTTATAGACATTTAAATTTTTAATTTGGTTGAAATTGATACTTATTCAAAGAATAACGATTTTATTTAATTTGTAATAATTCAAAAATATTTTTATAGGGATTTAAGTCTTTTTGTAGCTAGGTTTATTATTATATTTTATATTTACAATATCACCAAGACATTTTCAAAAAATTTAAATTAATTTCATACTGTTGCCTATTTATTATTTGCCTATTTTTGTTACGAATCTATCACACTGTTCTACAGTTAATTAATTTGTAGATACTAAGGTACCTATATTAATTCAAAAGTTAATAGGTTTTTTTTTTTTAATTTTATTTTTATTATACAATCTGTAAACATATTATTTTTACAATAAGTTTAAGTGCTGTACAAGTAAGTTAATAAGTAGGTACATAATAATAATAATGATGTGTACTAACAATATATTCAATTATAATTTAAATACCAAATACAATAAATGCAATGTTCTCGGTAAAAATGTATTCAACTTACCGTACTACTAAAATAGTGAAATAAATTTCTATGATATAAATATATGAAATATACTTAGTGATATACCTAGGCTAACAAATTGTTTTCGCTCATTATCAGTTTTCGTATGCAATTATTTATCATTTAATAAATAACAGTAGATAGCTTACCTACTCGATGACGATTTACATTTGACGTCTGCGATCCTCTCTACAGCAGAATGGTCACCTACTTTTTCTTTTTTTTTAAACTGTTACTAAGGTATCTAAAATATAATTTTAACGTTTCTTTAGACTAAATGATTCGTGGTGTAAAATATTCAATAGGCCTAGTAAATATTATTCTATGATGATATACATAGCTACCACAAAGGTACAATAGATTATAAAGGTATTGTATATTTATTTTATTATTATATTAAGAAAATATTACATTTGCATCACTGTCTTACAACAATACAATATAATGTAGCAAATGTGTGTTAACCAGAACCAATTTTATGCTGTTAGCATTAATATTGAAGTGAATTATTGACCTATTTATCAAACTTAAATATATGAACATTATCAGTGTTTTCATGTTGGTGTTTTAAAATATTTTTGATTTTTAAATTAGTTAAGAACCTTTTTGTAGATATTTTAATTATTTCCCTAAGTAGGTACCTAGTATCTATTACTATCCATTGCCTATAGGCGCAACTAGACCTCTTAATAATGTGGAACGCTAAAACTGTTAACACCTCACAGACCCATAGTATCTTACCAAAACAATAATAGTTTGGTATAAAAAAAATAAGGGGTGTTAAATTTGAACTATGGTGGAGTATTAAAAACCCTTTTGCAACTCTTAGTTGCGCCACTGCCAGTGCCGTGTCTATAGAGAAGTGCGTGTGCACCGGACGCCAAAAGCTTTTTATTATTTAAGTAAATAATATTATGGAAAGTTGACCAAATTAATTTATATTTTTTTCACGTTCAATACCACAATCTCAATATCATTAACATTGCCCTGATCGCCGGTGTTGATTATCGGTCGGCAAATATAGTGTTCATTCTGAACTTTGATTATTATTCATTTTGACTGATAACAGGCACGTATCCAGAGAGGTGTTCATGGGGTCTGGATATTATTTTTACATATTTTTTAAATATTTTGATATGTACCTATATATTATATTAATGAAATTATTTTTTGTAAAAATCATAAGAAATTGAATTCAAAACATATTAAAGAGATATATTTAAAAAATAGATAATGTTTTTAAATTAAATTCAGTAATAAGTTATCTGGTTACTATATACTACAATGCTATAATTATTCGCCTACAGCTATTCGCATTTAAAAGTAAATTATTCCAAATAATTGCAGATATAGATTAGATTATTACAAAATTTGGTAATTAAACAGAATATTTCCATTTAACTATTATATTATATTCATTAGTCAGCAATAATTTTTAAATATATAGATAGAATAAAATCGCTTATACGCAGTTATGCGCACACTGTTATAAGATTATTTTCGATAATTGTATTGCATTTCTTCTTAGTTCTTTCTGTAGAAGTTCATTTTTATGTTAATTCATCAATTTTATTTATATTGGATTTATATAGGTATATATTGCTATATTGAATTCAACATGTACTTTGGTACTTATAATACACAGATGCTTATAGCCTATAGGTACCTCTAATACCTATCTATAGTGGCTACTCTTGTACTTCTGTAAAAATGAGTTACATTTTCTCTATGAGCTATGTTGTTTACAGTCCACTGATGGCATATAACCTATGTGTGTACATTGTACAAGCATACAACCATTTTATTGCATTGATCCACATTAAGTAATAAGTACGAAGTATCAACAATTATACGTCTATATAATTGATTTTTAAATCACAGTAATGTCTAATTGTGTAGAACATACATCATATGTATATATGCCTACCTATGGCTTATACATAATGATTAAAGTATCAATAAAAACAATAAATGTAATTATGGGGACGTGAACTACAACTACAATATTGACTAGTAACTCTATTTAGTGACGTAGTTATGATTTTGTTCTGGAGGGGGATATATAATTATTTGAGGGCATTATCGCCATTTTTTTATAGTCCTATATTGTATATTATTATATCTATGATTAGGTATAACGTAATATGGATAATTTTATAATCTTATATTAAGTATAAGTCAATGCATTATACATTAAAAATAAAAAAAATTTATGGGGGGAGGGGAGATCTATCTCCATCATCTTCCTACATAACTACGCCACTGACTATTGCTTATTTATCCACGGTCCATAATGATATTTATATAGTCATTAGCATATTGCATGTATTAAAGAAAGGCTGGGAACAATGGGCGGATCTGAGAGTTATTCCTTGTTTTTTTATAAATATTAAATACCTATTTATAATTATAAAAAAACCTCGAGGAAATTGCTCTGATGTGCATGTATAGTAATAGCAGATAACATGGAAGTGTCAAATTTTAATTCAATGATTAATTATTGTATACGAAAAACTATTCAGATCATAACTATAATATATATATATAGTGTAATGACGGTCTGCAGTCAGTCTTTATTTTTCCTTATTTGTTTATTGCTGTTA